ATTGTGAATTTATTATATATATTCATAACATGAATTTGAATTAGGAAATTTGGATGGCTCCAATGCAACCATTTTACTGCTTATGATTTTTGAACATACTTCAAACACAGAGGTTAGCAGTGTTTGAGGATTTTTCAGATTCCAGGTAGAAATTAGTTCTGCAGATATTTGGAGGTAGTAGGAAATAGCCAGCTCTTAATATCAAAAGGCAGGGATGATAAGAAATGTATGTTCCAATATATAGTCAACAAGCTATTTATCATCTGTATGCTCCTAGCCTATATGCTCCAAGAGGCTAGGGGCTTTGATTGTTGGCATTGTGTTGCTGCATATTTTACATAACCACTCTATAATAGTAGCCATTCAATGTGCTCGATATATGGGATAGTATAGTAGATTTATAGTAGTTATATAGGATAGTATAGTAGATTTAATTATTTGGCAGTATAAATACTGAATAAAAAAGCAACATGTATCTTGGCTCCAGATAGAAATTCCAGTATACTTTATTTAGTAGTCAATACATAATTAATGTTAGTTATTTCAGTTTGTGTGTGAACCAACCTGTGTTTTCATCGTCAGGAAGTCCTGCTGTCTTCGTAAAGGTGCTTTGTACATATTTAATTCTTTTGAAGATTTACACTGGAAGTCTGAATCCTCATAAGTAATGTATCTATACAAGTACAGAAGGGCAGTGTATTTTGAGTCAAGTAAATTGATAGCAAGCGTAATATATTCTTTTATTACTTAATACTGAGAAAGTGGTAGGAAGTTAGTAATTGGTAGTAATTGCTGAAAGTGTTAGAACATTTCAGTTATGTAGGAAATAGGGAAATGTGTTGGTGAACACTGAAGGAAGACTTACTACCTTCTCAGCTCTTCCTAAGCCTTTTTCAAGGGGATGTGGAACATGTGGGATTTTAATTCATTCATTATTCTAGAATCATAAGTATTTTCTGGTTATACATATGTTCCTTTCTTCTTACATTTTTAATATTCCATTTTATGAGTATGACTGTTTTGTTTGCAAATATATCTGCACTACAAGAGGGCCTGGTACTGCAGAGGCCATAAGAAAGCATCAGATCCTCTGAAATTGTAGTTGTGAGCTGCAATTTGGGTGTTGGGAATCAAACCTGGATCCTCTGGAAAGGCAATCAGTGTCCTTACTACAGAGCCACCTCTTTGGTCCCTTGTTCTTATTTTTCATAGAAGATGGTATCAATCTATGCTTAAATAGTGAGGTGTTAGCATTAAGAAGTACTATGGAATTCTTCCATCCTATTTCCCCCTCTTTAAATATGTACATTGTTAGTATTTTTGGGTTTTTTAAATTTATTTTAGAAGCACTCTTATTTATATATCCATCCCCCCATTCCCTAGCCCTATAGTGAGGCCCTCCATGGGGGGCTGTCAAAGTCAGTCCATCATTTGGGGGAGGGTCCAGGCCCTCCTTCCTGTATCTGGGCTGCAATCGTATCCCTCCATAGGGAATGGGCTCCCAAAGTCCATTTGTGCTCTAGGGATAAACACTGGCTCCACTGTTAGAGGTCCCATAGACTGTCTTGGCCTCCTAGCTGGCACCCACATTCCAAGGGCTTTTTGTCTTATTTTATGTGTAAGAGGATGATGCTTGCCATGGCACGTATGTTGAGACCAGAGGACAGCTTTCAGGAATTGTTCTCTCTTACACTGTGATGTGGGTTTCAAGGTTGAACTCAGGCCCTCAGGCTTGTGTGGCAACACTTTGACTGCCGGAGCCGAATCAACGACCTTAGAACTGCACATTTTGTTAAGGAAATCTGCCATCATCAGAATTCTTAGTATTCTTGCTCCCAGCTTCTCCCAGCCTGCAAGCACATTATTTTCGCTTCCCTCTTTCATAAACTGGCCTTTAGTATTACCTTTTCCTTACTCAGAAATCACTTGTGTAGATTATTGTTCTACATTACTACAGGGACCTATAATATAATGATTTATTGCCTCCCAGGCTCTAACAATTACCATAGTGTTTTGGGGTATAGATCACTCAAACCAGGTTCTATGCTCTAGATTAATAATTCCTTTTTACATGTTGTATCACTTTGTGTTTACATGAATCAATGCTTATTCTGAAATGTATTGATTAGGTCCCTCTTCTGACTCCCTGAGATCCTCTCCCTCATCAGCATTCCTAGCCTAGTAATATTTCTGTAGTTTTCATGTATGAAAGATAATCATGGTATTGAAATATGATCAACATATAACTGTGCGTGTGTGTGCCTATGTGTGTGTGTGTGTGACATAATAGGGTAGATACATCTTGAAAATAATGAAAAATAATCATGGTATTGAAATAAGATCAGTGTGTGTGTGTGTGTGTGTGTGTGTGTGTGTGTGTGAATATGGTGGATACATTGAAATAAGATCAACATATACCTGTATGTGTGCACGTGTGTGCATGTATGTGTGATATCATATGGTGGATACATTTTGAAAATAATGACCAATTCTGCTATGCAAGCATCATGTAGTAATACTAAACCAAACTCCATGTAGCTGATGCATTTCCAGACTACATGACATCATCATCCTGTTTGCAGCCTACTGTTGATCAAAACATTATGCATCTGGTGATTGTTTGTGTATACATATTATATATCTCATATATATATATATATGTATCATGTATTTGATGTTATATGTGTGTGTATTATATTGTGTGCATATCCTTTGTGTACCATATATGCATTTCCATGATTATATATAGGATTTATATATATTATATATATGAACATATATATATATATTCACACTAATTTATTTGTATGCATCTGTTAAAAAATGGATACTTTTATATCTGCTAAAGACAGTCTACCAAAAGTGCAGAACTACAATCACATAGGGCACTACAAAGCTAGCAGGCAGGGAGAAGCTTCCAGATGAGTTTTGGCTTGGTTTACATATATCTTTCAAGCAAGGTATATGGTGTCTTTGGCAATAGGGTCTTGTCCATCTGGTCCTGGTGGGCAACCAAGAGAAAAAGGCAATAATCTGTATTATTCTGGGAACTTCTAGGTTTCCATGACCGACAAGTTTTATAGAGGTGCCCCATTCCTGGTGCAAAGAGCAGTATTATTCAGCTATGCAGAATAACTGCCTTCCAGTTATAGTCTTTAACTTACATACTTTAATCAGCTTTTAGAGCAGTAGGTTTCAGTATGGTTCCCATAGCTCTTTCACTTTGGTTAATCTCTCACTGCTCCCTGATCTCCTCTGTCCCACCACCCCATCCCTGCTGAACCTTTCAGCTCCCAGAATTCCCTTCTCTATTTTCGTATTGCCTACATTCTTCTAGCTCAACTTCCCTAAGCCATCCATCTCCTGCTAGCTCTTTTCTAATTTGGCTTCTACAGGTTCTTCACATAAAACACAGAAATCTAAAGAAATGTTATTAACAGGAATTTGTTTAAAAGATGAGTAAATTATCTGCAAGAATATTTAGGGCCCATAAGACTATTAGAAATCTCTGATTCTAGTTATAGTAAAATTATCCAAGGGTAGCCTTGAATTTGTAACTATCTGATAAAGAATTGAGAAGATATGTTATAGGGATATTTTCCAAACTTTCCAACCAGACTTACAAGCCAAACTCAAGACTTCACTTCTACATAATACACCAAGAATTCCTTTCCTCTCATTTTGACTCTAATTTTATTTTATTCTTTTTTGCCTTTGCTCTACCACAGACCAACCGAATTCAGTCAACTGGCAAAAAAATTATAAATAAAAACAAGAACTTAATGTCCTTTTTATAGAAGTCTAAAACAGAAATTAGCCAACATTTCTACCCTGTTTGAACCCTTCCCTTTGGCCTATGACTTTAGTCTCAAGAGAATAGTTTTCATATATATGCTGATTTCTTTACTATTGGACATGTTTTTGCAGTGTTTTTAATGGTATGATAGAAGACAGATGCATAACATTTATTAAATCTTTAACATACTTGTTTTTGAGAGTTAACTTTCTGAATAAGATTTCTAAAATAAGCATATTCATCTTCATGAAAGTGATAAATTGATTGTTTTTGACATAATATAAGAAATTGGCATTGTTTAGTGTTTTATTTTTAACCTGAATCTGTATTTTGTTAAACCCTTAATTTTTTCTCTCTTTTGCAGCATTTTGTTCATTGGTGTTTTGTTCATGATGTGCCAAGTCTCTGTACCTGTTATGTCTCAGAATTTCAAGAAAACACTGATAAGATGTTTTAATGTCAGATGTGTGCCAGTTGAGTTTATCAATAAGCTCAAATGAATTGGTGTGTGATAAAGATAAGATCATATTAATTAAAAGATAAGCCAAGAAAACATGTTATTTTGTTATGATGATTTGAAAAGCCAGATGTCAACAGACTTATTTCCATCCCTAGGAGAATGTATTGGGAAATTAGCTGCAGATTGTTCAAAATTTTATTAAGCATATTTCATTCTTTTTGAAAGATAGCATAAAAAAGTCATGTAAATAAATATTCCAAGAAAATTTTCCTTGTTTTTAAAGAATTAAAGATAGATTGTATTTAGTAAAGACTTTCCAAAGGTGGGTAAAGTCCCATGGTATGTAAGAACAGCTTTCTGCAAAGCTGTCTCCTACAGAGACACCATAGCAGTCTTCCCATTCATAAAAACGCTGTTGCATTGTTCATTATAATTAATAAAATAATCGATTTTACTAGATACTAGATGCTATAATGCATTTTCTCATCCTAAATTCATATAGCATCCCATATTTTGTAGATCAGAATGCTAATTTTTGAGCAGCTGAATAACCATTACAAGCTATAAAGCTTACTGTTATTTTCCTTTTGATGGTGCCATCTGTCAGAAACCAAAGCAAAGATGGAAATCTCCTCGAGTCATAAAAGATTCTCCATTGCTTAATGCAGCTTTTATAGAGACATGCCTATCTAGGGGATACATTAATACTGCATGTTAAAGACAACCTTTCTTACTTCCTTGCAGATGGGGAACTCAAGGAGATTTCAGCACTACCCACCCGCGGCCTGTGGTCAAAGTGAAACTCTTCACAGAAAGCACAGGAGTCCTGGCCCTGGAAGACAAGGAACTGGGCAGGGTGAGTTGTTCTCATTTCTGACTGTCTAGGGTATCAGGCACTCGCATGATTCAGAAGAGCATGGACCAGTATTTCTCAGATGAAACTTGTGTTCATAAAGTATTTAACATCTGACTACCAAGATGGCTCACAGGGTGAAAGTACCTGTAGCCCAGCACCATGACCTGAGTTTAATCCCTATAGTCCATATGGTGGATTTCCATGTGAAGCATACCTGGTCATAAAACCTCGGTAGACACACCATCGCATGCTGTTGCCACCATGCACACACATGCGTACACATACCAGAGGCACACACAGAATAAGTTAACAAATGGAGATGGGGGGAATATATATGACTTCTTATTTGTAATTTTCCAAAAATCCACATTACAGATATAATCTACTAAGCATAACTCTGTATAAATTAGAATATATTGTTATATGTGTGGATTCATGAGCTCAGAGTCACCAGCTCCATCTCCTCTGGCTGCTGAATGTCATTCACACCAGCCCACTTGTCCCTCCTGGTGAAATGTCAGTCTCTGCCTCTTCCAGGGTGGAGAAGGACAGCTGCCAGATGAAAAAGCACGGGGCTTATACAGGACTTCTTAGGGGCAGAGTTTCTCCAGGGAGAAGATTTTTCAGGGAGGGAATTGGTCAGATTTCGATACCATTGAGCTTGGACAAGCTCAGATTGGCTAGATTTTTGCTTGAGGAATGGTTCATTTTCCTGCTCACAGTTGGTAGGTCAGGGGCAGACTTGCCTCTGATTTCAGGGCCAAAATGTGTTTCTTTCACTAACCATTTTTGACTCTAGTTTCAGTGCCAGGGTATATTTCTTTCACTGGCTCTGGTTCCAGGACAAAAGTATGTTTCTTTGACTCTGGTTTTAGGATTAGGATGTGTTTCTTTGGTTCTGGTTTTAGGGCCAAAGTGTGTTTCTTTCATTGGCTCTGTATTCAGGGCACTGGCTCTGTATTCATGGCCAGGGTGGATTTCTTTCACTGGCTCTGATATCAGGGCCAGGGTGTGTTTCTTTGGTTTGCTCTTTTACCCTACAAACACTTCACAGCCCAGTGTGGAAGGTTGTTTGCTGTCTAATAAAGTAGATATAGTTTGAGGACTGAGGCTGTGTTTTGCTATATGAACCCAGATCTGAAAATAGCCACCGCAGATACTTTCGAGAGCATAAACCTGTGTTTACTCATTTTTTTTGAGTTATGGATGACTTTTGTAATTATAGATATAGAAGGATACTAGCAGCATTCTGTGTTTGGAAGATTTTCCCTCGAAGCCTCATGTTTTTATTCACTTTAGTTCCTCTTCTACCTCGTCTACACTGTTGGAGTTTTTGCATACTCATGTTCCAGATTACTTCTTTGATTTCAGTACATGCGTAGCACAGCTAAACTGAGCTTTTTCTTCATGTAATCATATAGTCACACATTTATCCATTTAGTGAAGGTGCCTGTAGCATTATGTAACAGAAGATCCCCAGAGAGTACATCTGATCTTACGGACATTATGAATCAGAGTTGTTCACTTAATCTATAATTGTATTAATTTACCTTATCTCCATATTATAACTATTTTTCGGTATTAAACAGCAGCTCTTTGAAACCTAATTTTATAAGTAATTCTTTGGATACTTTAGCTTATTTTAGATGATTAAATGACATATTTAATTAATTTTTAATTGAATGCATAAGGAATATATTTTCCTATACAATTGTAAATCTGAGACAGCCCTTGTACATCCTTCAAAAACAAGATAATTTTTTCTGTCAGTTTCTCAACTTTAGTATTGTAATATTTTGGGCAAATACTTAGTATTGGATGTTGATGTTGCTCTGTTCATTTTATGATATTTAATGTCATCTCTGTCCCCTAAAAAATAAATGCCAGAGCACAATAATCAGAAATGTCTCAAGACATTGCCAGATGCCCCCAGAGGCCCTTATGAAATCATCCATCCATGTTGCAAAACCACTGGTCTATTTTAATGATCTAAGTAGGTTTGAAGATTTCAGATATTATTTGTGTGTTATTGACTTCTAAAGTTATTTTCTTTCTTTGGAGCTTCAGATTTGCATGCTGAAACTGCATCCCAAGAGAGTATAGGATTCACACCATCATAAATAAGTATTCCATACAGACCTTGTATGGAAACAAGTCCCTCTGTTTCTCCTTCCCTCCTCCTATTTGCAAGTTCTGTGTAGCACAAATAATATAGACCCAGAGACTGATGTTGGGGTTCAAGCCAAAGACCAGAAAAGCAAGGTAGCCAACCACTGAGAGTTCTCACCTCTGTCAATGCTCAGACCAAAGGGGCAATCCACCGAACCTCAGATTGAATCTCCAGACTACACTGCTCCTCATCAAATCTCAAACTGCTGCCTAAGACTGTACTGAGCTCCTTATATTCTCTCTATGGGATTAAAGGCATGAGCTCTGTTTCTCTTTTACATTGATTCACTCTCATGTAGGCCATGGTGGCCTTGAACTCACAGAGATCCATCTGCCTCTGTCTCCTGAGTCCTGGGCTTAAAGGTGTGTGCCACCACTGCCCAGTTTCTATGGCTGTGGCTAGCTTTGCATTCTGATCTCAAGGCAAGCTTTATTAGCTCATACACAATGCATCACTACAGTTCTGTCTACTTCCTCTAGAATTTTCCTGATTATGCTTCCCCCTTAGCATCTCTGCTAATTCAAGGTACCATATTTATCACACATGCCTCTGTTAATAATCCTTTTCCATAGAGGGGGGCTGGTGGGGTGGGAGGAGGGGAGGGAGAGGGAGAAGGGATTACATGTGAAGCAGGCTTGTTTCTAATTAGAACTAATAAAAAAATAATGTCTTGGGACAAAAAAAAAGAATCTTTTTCCAATTGCCACCATGGCCCCTTTAGTTCAGCTTTTACATTTCAGCTATTACAATTTATTAAAACATCAGAAACATTCCATCATTCTGTCCTTAAAAATCACTTAGTGTCTCTCTGTTTATTGGAGGAAAAAGCCAACTGAGTGTAGCCTGGCAAGGCTTCTCAGTGGCCCTGGAGCCACCGAATCATCAGCACCTAGATATTAGTTCAAGATACTGGTAATCACAGCCTGCTGTAGATATGAAGAATCACAACCTGGGGCTTGGGGGCTGTAGTGCATTTTAATTGTCAGTCTTGGTACCCAATCTAAAGAAACCCTGCTCATGAGCTGACCTCTGCTTCCATGTCCTCCTCCTGTACGTGAAAACCTTCTTGCTACTGTCCATCTTTCTTCAAATCTGGCTTGCTTGCTTTCTTTTCAAATATCTATGTCTCATTCCTGCTTTAGACTTGAGGTCTTCAGATGTGTCGCATTCTGAGCACACATGACACATGCAAATGGAAGGCCATCTTTATCAAGCAGGACAGAGCTGATACCACCTATACACTTATCTAGTTTTTTAGAAAACTCATTTCAGTTCAAAGAGCAAGACCTTACATGATGTGAAATCTGTTGTCTAAATTATTAAAAAATATACCTAAGAAAAGCTTGTTCTGTTGTTGTTTGGTTTGATTTTTGGAAACAGGCTTTCTCTGTGTAGCCCTAGCTGTCCTGGAACTCAAATTCTCAGAGATCTGCCTGTCTCCCAAGTGCTGAGATTCAAGACATATGCCCCTCTGCCCAGCTAGAAAAGCTTGTTTTTATACATGAAAAGTTTGCTTATAATTGTGTACATTATTTAACTTCAAAAATAAGCAACAGTGATAGAGAATAGTTTTATACCACATAATACCACTGTACATCTACTATAATGCTAGAATACAGAAAAGGTGATCATAACAAATGCTGACAAAAATCTAGAACAGAAACTCATGTTTTAATGGAAGTTATGCAACATTGGGAAGTCACTTTTGAAGAACTTGTTGTGTCTTATATATTAAACATAAGCATATCATATGACCTCCATGCTTTACTCTTAGGCATGTACCCAAGGCTTATGCATTTCACATTCTCACAAAAGCAGTATATGCTATACAGGTGGATTGATGAGCTGTAGTACATCCATGCATTGAAATAATCTTTTGTGCTAAAAAATCAAAACAATTTGTTAATCCATGCAAAGATGTAGATAAAACTTAAATCCCACAGGATGATGAAGTGTATGATTCTACTTATTCTAGGGGAAAAAAATACAAAAATCTGTAAGGATTGAAGCCTAAGTGCTTGGTAGAGGCTAATTGGGAAGTGGTTGGCTCTAAAGAGATGCCTGGGACACTTTTAGAGTGATGGGCCAGTTCTGTATGAACAAAAAGACTGGGTTAATGAATTATATATTTCATATAAATCTAAGGAGCTCTACATTATGTACAATGTACTTTTAGGTATGCATACTAGCTCTTACACACACACACCCCAACCTGTTGTATCAAAGGGATCCCCATGTGGAATAGAAGTTATGCTAAACACAATTAATAGTATTAAAAATATAAAAATAAATTCCCTTAAAAGATTTAAGGGAAAAGACTCAACTCTGAGTCACTCAGACAAATAAATAGGTAAGAGCACTCTCATCTGACTGGAAGGCTGGCCACCGTGCTACCAGTACTTCTGTATCTCACTCGCACAGGACTGAAGGAAGGTCATGCTGAATATCCAGGCCATTCTCTCCTCAAGCCCCAACATAAGCCCAACCCACACATGAGAAAGTTGTGAGGCAAAGAAAGACTGGCCAGGATTCTTCAGGATTCTCAAGGTTATGAAAAAATGACGCTGACAAAAGAAGACTAAAAAGACAGGAACTATAAATGCAATTCAGTATGTTGGATTAGCTCTTGAAGCTGAAATAGTACTAATTGAAAAACAGCTCAAATCCATAGCCTCTGTAGTTTAGTTGTAGTGATGGACTGTTTTAAAATATCTTGCTTTTGATCAATATCCCATGGTAATACAGACTCTTAGGTTTTTTAAGAAAACTAGGCCAGGTGCATAAAACTTTTCTGTACTAACTTAGCAACTCTTATGACATTACTAAATTA